TTTAGCAACGAGGACCACGTCTTCGAGGAGTGGGTGCGGTTCTCGATCCGGTGCCCACAGAAGTTCTCGCGGACGATGTGCCGGAAGAAGTGGGTCCAGTTCGAGCGCAACCCGGATGCCCTTAACTGGCGGCGGGGGTTCAATTACCTGAACTCGACCATCTGGAGGCAGGTTTGAGAAGAGGGAGAACAGGGTAGGAGGGGACCAACGCGAGGAGCCTAACGATTCCCAACCTAGCGCAAATGATTATTTTTCTAGACCTTTTGCTTTCTCTTAAGAAAAGAAAGAAATAAAGAGAGAGAGAAAGCCTTTGTTTTTACACACACTTTTGTTTACATTTTTATTTACACATTAATAGATTATTGATGCCACTTTTCTGATTTTCTTCCCTCCACGAATGGTGGGATAAGGGGGAAAATGCATTTGTAGTAGAGAGCTTTGTATACCCAGAGGACTCCTCGGTTAAGTGTGCATTTACATCCTTGCATATTCTACCAATATATTCATATAGATAATAATTTATAGATAGATATCTTTTATCGCTTTTAAATCGACGCCAATAAACTTTTCCATGTATTTAAAGAAGACTTACTTCTATATAGATTTACATTTAGTCCTATTGTTTGAATATTGGGGATATCTCCTTCTTTTTAGAAGTATTGACTGAAATATTTAATTCAGGAGAAGGAGCAAGTAGTTAGACACTTCTTTTATTCTTCTTCCTTAAAACTGTAAATCTATTCCATAGCAAGATCCATATCGTTGTGAATTACATCTCAGCTTAATAAGTAAGGGCTTTATTACATTATTTGGTATTGTCGTATATCTTTTCACACATGTCATTTCTTTTTTTGTAGAATGTGTGATCTGATCTCGTTGGTATTGTGCATATATTTGATTTTATGATATAATAACAGTAAAACAACGACGAGCAATGTACTGCAAAAATATGCTTTCCGTCTGCTAAATTTCAAAAATAATAAAAAATTTATCCCTTTTTATGAATAGTCTACAGCATAGGAATATTTTTTTTATTTTGGATATTTATTAAGTATACTTTCCTATACACACACTCACGCGTTTATAAATATATACTTGAGTGGCTCTTTCTTTTATTGATCTTGAGTATATATTAGAAAATATTTTATTTATTTATTTGCGTGCTATATTCAAAGATCACCCCCTCTAATTCAACATCGGCAGGGAAGTGACAGGTAGTGTTGAATTTAGTGGCTAAACGTAAAAGCAGAAATACTGTCAACAACCATCGGTATACCAAGGAGAAAACAACAATAAACTAAAATAGCCAATTATAAGCATATACATATATGCTTACATTCAAAGCAAAGAAGTGTGTGTGTGTCTATTCATTTAGGATTAATACCTACTATGGCGCCTAAAGCTGCCGAAAAGGAAAAAAATGCGGCTTTGGTAGCGTCCTTGTCTTCGTCGGAGCAGGCTGATCTCCTTGCGCAGGCTCTACTGCGGGAGTATATGCACCGCCGCGGTTTTTTTGAAACCCTGCGCGCTTTTGACGGGGAGTGCCACCGCAATGAGCGAACCATCTCCTCCAGGCTTATGATGAAGAAGCTTTTATGCATTCCTGCGATGGAAACGCACCCTCTTCATCTAAGCAGCTCTCACGAGGTGCCGACTTTTATGGAGCAGATGTGCTCCTATCGCCTGCGCAAGCCCCACGAGGGGGCTCGCCAGGAGCTTCGCGAGAGGGAAGAGGAAAAGGAGGAAACGGGCCGAATAGCGTGGCTGCGCGCAGCGGAGGAGGCCGGGAGGGAGGTGGTGGACCACGACGAGGCCGAACTCGCCGAACTGCGGGCGAAAGTTTCACAGACCAAAAAGCGCCAGGAGTGGGCGGAGACGCATAGGCGGGAGTACGACAAGCTCAAAGCTGCACTCGCCGAGCTCGAGGAGGCTGAAGCGAAAGGAAAGCTGAAGAAGGGAGAGAAGGATGGAAAAAAAGTGGGAAAGTCGGCGAAGCACCACCGAAAGAATAATCTCATTGATCCTGCCGCGGACGACAGCGGCGACGAGCCCCCCACCGCACGAAAGAAAAGCCGCCGGAAGAAACACGGGGAGGGCGTCTTAGCGGGTGAGGAGACAAAGGATCGTAGTAAAGGTGCCCTTGAAAATCCCACACTTCCGATGGATGAGCTGAGCACCTTTGCGGTGTCGCTGGAGGGGAAGGAGCGGCGGCGGCGGGAGTCGAAGGGCCCCGCCCCGCCGTCGGCTCGGGGTGGATGCCCCCCGGCGTCAACGCGGCGGCCGTTTCGATGCTTCCGGTGGGATCTCGCTCGACTAATGATCATCATGACGGCGGGCCTTTGATGACGATGGAGGGGGCGGGCGCCTCCACGTTGAGCAGCTCGGTCGGGGAAATGGGGCGGGGGATGGGTGGCGCCGGGATTGCCCTGAAGAGCCGCGCACAGCCCAGCCTCAGCCGTGCAGAGCTCATGGAGGTATGGCGACCAGGGAACGTGGGAAAAGGAAGCGCCACGGATCATCCGCAGGATGGGATGGCGACTTTCAAAAGGACCTCTGCCTTCGCGGCAGAGTTTAACTGGGGTTCGGAAAAGGCGACGAATTTAAAGCCGCTCTACTCCTACGATCCTAGTGCAATACCCCACAGCAGCGCTCTCGTGAGCGGGTTGGACCGCAAGCCTAGTGTCACGGAGGCCAGCGGTGGTGGTCTTCGCAAGGGAATTGGATTTCGTAAATCATCCGATAGTAATCTTGGCGATGTGGGGGAGGCAGGCGCAAATGATAAGGACAGTAGCTCGCCTAAATCTCACTCGCGGACTCGAAAGGTCACCTTAATCGTTGATTGAGAGATACGTGGTAGAGTAATATATTTTTATATACTTTGGAAGTGTTCTAGAATTAAATCAATTAAACATTCAAATAGAGATCCTAATAACAAAGGAGGTAGTGTTTGAGTACGGAAACGGAAGTTATCAAGGATAATATATCTATTTATATATATATATATATATTTGTATTTTTTTTCCCTTTTTCAAAGCCTTAAAGACAGCGACAAGGCAATGCAGATAAAGCTGAAACACTTGGATCAATGTAAAATAAAAAAATTGTATTATTATGGATAGCCCTACAATTTTTCCTTTCCTTGGTAGAGAAACGATGCCTCGTTTTTGCACCCAAGGAATGGGAAGATATTGATTCTTTTCTGTTTTCTAAGGAAATGAGGGCATATGTGTAAAACTATGTAGATTCACAGAAAGGGGTAGGTTCTATCCTTTTAGACTCAACTGAGAAAGTGAATATACATTCAAATACACACAAAAAATGAAAAACGTAGCAGCATTGCTTCTTAATGCATTTGATGGAGTAAATTACTTCTTCCGATTCTTACCTTTTTATCCTCCTCTTGTGGATCCTAAGTTTCTTTTCTTTATAGTTATTTATTGATTGCATAGTTCTAAAAAAAAGCATATAGAAAACGCATTTACTTTTTTCTAGTTCCTGTCTTAGGGCCTTTGTAAAAGGTTCTCAATATCATACTGATCAACAGGGGTGGCAAAAAAAAAGGCCTTAATAGTTTATTCTAGTGTGTGGCATTTTCATCATCCAAAAGGTACTCTACTCTCTTTTGCACAAACACTCTTTATATTTCCCTCACTCTCTACCGCGAGAACCGCTGATTCATCCACACACTAAAAGAAAATTGTTGCACATTCAACTTCTTTCACTAATCCATACAACCGCTTATTGATTACATACTGAAGGTAAGTAATCAATCGATATATATTATTTACACATTTAAATCATAATCGCCGCATAAGCGTTAGTATATATTGACCCACCCGTAGACCTATTGTTTGAACACATTCATTACCCCCTTCACTGATGGGCTGCAATTCGTCTAAAAAGATAGACGAGTCTCTCAAGAATAGGCCCCCCAAGGGCCGATCCCGGAAGCACCGGAAGGGCCGTGACGAGGAGGCCGCCAACGGAACCGAGAGCGATCTGACCCCCCCCGACAGCCAGCGCTGGGACCCCCATCGCGTCGCGGAGGACCGCCGTCGCCTGCCGAATTGTCATTTCTGCCATTTGCCGATCCTGGACAAGGACTACAACGCGCACACGGTAATGTGCGATGAGCGCGAGGTCACCTGCTGGAATTTATGGTGTCAAAAGATTGTCAAACAGCGCGACCTTACCACGCACCTCGAGGAGTGCGGGCGGTGGCAAAAGGCGATCTGCCCAAAATGCGGCCTCGAGGTGCTGGTGAGTGAGATGCAGAACCACCGGGATGGGTGCAATCCTAAGCCCTGCCCGAGCTGCGGGGAGGTCTGCATCATTCGCATCCACAAGTGGTGCCCCAAGACTTATGTAGATAACCTGGAGCTCAAGAACGGTCCTTTTGCGAAGCAGTCGCTGCTCGCGAAGTACTGCGCGGAGAAAAAAAAGAAAACCCATCTGGAGCGGCAGGAGTTCAACATCGCGCGCATCCAGCTCCTTTGGCACTGGATCAAGTGCAAGTACTTAGTCGAGGAGACAATTTTTAGATGTGTCTACAAGGAGATGGACTTCAAAAAGGAGGGATTCGCCATCTTTAAGGCCCACGATAAGGTGAACGACTCCCACGTCCTCGCTCCGCGGCGGTCGCGCTCAGTTATTCAGGCCCCCGTCGTCGCCCCCGCGAGTTTCTCACACTACTTCCCGGTGAATTCTAACACCCCGATCACACTCTACCACGTACAGCGCATGATGCAAGACATGCGGCGCCATATCCTCCTGCCCTACCCCGCCGCCTGGAGGATCTTCACCAATGCGATGAACCATCTTAATACACTGCCGAATGTCGTGCGAATGTCCCCATCGGTCGGCGCGCGCGACGTGAACGGACGCTTTAGCCAGGGTTGCAAGGTTGTCGTCGTCGGCGATATCCACGGGCAGCTTACGGACCTCCTGCACATCCTCCAAGAATGTGGAATGCCCGGGGAGAACAACTACTACATCTTCAATGGCGATTTCGTCGACCGAGGGCAGTATGGAGTCGAGGTACTGATCATCCTCTTCTCGCTGATGCTGGCATGCCCGAAGTATGTCACTCTCAACCGCGGCAACCACGAGTGCGATTACATGAACGACGAGTACGGCTTCGACGTCGAGGTGAGCACGAAGTACGACCGCAATATCTTTCGCCTCATTCAGCGCTGCTTCTGCGCGCTGCCCCTCGCGACAATCATCGGGAATAAAATTTTTGTCGTCCACGGCGGGCTGCCGCGGCGGATGGGGGTCACGATCGACGACCTCTCCCGCATCCAGCGCTTCCGCCAGGTCCCGATGCCGAACCGTTCGCAACCGGAGGAGGATGAGATCTTCCAGGACCTCCTCTGGTCGGACCCTGTAGAGGATATCACGGACTGGCGAGAGAGTCCACGCGGCGCGGGCGTCGAGTTCGGCGTGAAGGTCACCAACAGCTTCCTCGAGACAAACAACCTCAAGCTGGTTGTGCGCTCCCACGAAGAGTGCGTGAGTGGGTACCAGGAGCTCCATGACAAGAAGCTGTTCACTGTCTTCTCTGCGAGCAACTATGATGGGCCGGATACAAACTACGGCGCGATTTGCAGCTTCATTGCGGACTCCATCGACCCTAGTTTCCAAATTTACCAGGTCTACGAGGAGGATCTGGAGGAGCAGTCGTTGAATATCACAGATAGCTTTGCCATTAACACTCCGATCGCCGCGCGGTTGGCGTCCTTCACGGTGAATAATCCCGGTTCCTTTCGCCAGATCCTTCGCCGGGGGACAAAGTATGATATCCTTCGAGAGCTGCGCGAGCGCATTTACCAGCGGCGCCATCGTCTTATGGCGTACTTCTCCAAACTTGATCGAACAAATAAAGGTTCTGTTTGGATTATTGAATGGGCGGAAACGATGCGGAACGTGCTGAATTTGGATCTTCCGTGGTACTTCCTCCGAGGCTACCTTGTGAGCCTGGACAAGGACGCCCGCACGCAGTACTCCCCCTTTCTGAAGGACTACCACAATATTCTGCAGTATTTGTGGGTGAATAGTTGGGCCCAGGCGACGTGCGCGCAGCTCCAGCAGCAGCAGCGCAGCAACCACCGCAGTCGCCTTGTCACAATCGCTTTCAACAAGGATGTGGTGACCTACAACGACTACTGCTCCGTCCTCCGCGCGATCGACTACACCATCAGCGAGTTCCAGCTCTTCCAGCTCTTTCAGTTCTTTGACACAGAAGGGCAGGGGCACCTCTGCGGGCCGGCCTTCCTGAAACAGATGCAGCTCATCGCGAACCGGAAGCTGGACCCGCTGCGCTGGGACGTCGACGCGATGGAGCAGCTGCAGAACACCCTGATCCAGGGACGGAGTCAGCTCTCCTCGCTCTTTAAGGTAACCTCACGGGATCGGGTGCTGTGCAAGGAGAAGTTTATGGATGGCATGGCGCAGCTCGGACGTGGCATGCGCAAGCAGCTCACGCACCCTCAGAAGGAGGCCATTTACGATTTCATGAGGAATCTAGTGCCGGAACACGAGGAGGTCACCTTCAGTGCGTTTCTCACTATTGTGTGTGTGTTTAACATCGTTTTACCACCCTCCTCGAGCTCCTATCCAAACACCCCGGACATGGATCTTTTGCAACGTCTTTTCTCAAACGAGAATATCTACGTGTCGCCTTACCCGATGAGCCCTAAAATGGTGAAACATTAGTCGTAAATGGTGATAATGGTGGTTGTGGTGGGATAATGCTAATCTTAAAGAGGAATACTACCTTACGAAGTAGTTTCCTTTTTGATGTTTCTTTTTTTTTTAATTCCATTATTATCACCCGTTAGCTTTGGGTATCCTCTCCACCAAGCCAAAGGTGAGTTCTGATGTAGGACAACGATTCGACGGACACACACGCATGTATCATGATTTAAGTGATGAGTAAACCTATTTCGAAGGGTATAATGATGATGCAAAAAAAAAGAAAGAATTCTAAAAAAGTAATATTTCAACATCAAGTATACAAAAACGTCGACTGAGGGAGAAAGCGTTCCCAAATAAAATAAAAATGTGTGTATATATATTTGTTTACTATTATAAACAAAATATTACTGCTCTGTGTATTAATTTCTTAAATTACTTTATCGGAGGAATATTTCCTTTTCGTTTGTGATTTATGCTTGATATCCACTCAGCGAAGAAAGTAACTTCCTTCTTCGCACGTCGATGAATGAGTGCGTGTGCATGCAGAATCGCTAGGTAGTGAGGAGGGAATTTCACTTTATCTTTTTGAGTACGTTAGGCCTCCCTCGATGGAAAATCACAGAGGTTATCCAAGCTACGTTAGCACTTCAGCAGAGCGATATCGGTGCTCAGGTTCTGCCTCTAACATTATCAACGACAATAGAAAGAAGGGGAGGTGGTTGTGAGAGTAGGAAATACATGGAGGATAGTACTTGGACAACTATGGCATTCAGGTAATAAAAAAGTCATACCAATATATGTCTATATTTTAGAAGAAAGGGAAATAAAGTTGCAAAGAAGAGGAAACTCAACATAGTTCAACTGAATTATCTCTACTTTCTAAACACCCTTTATTTTATTATTATTATTTTTTTTTACGTTGCATCGAATTTAAATTTATTGTACGATTATCAATCCATTATTATACGTATTCTTTAATGAGTTCTTACGCAACAGTGCGCATTTACATGATAATGTTTGGTACTAGACTCCGAGGAAATAGATATTTTTCTATTCTAAATGTATTTCGCCACAAATAAGGGTTTTATTCTTTGATCGAGTGTTCGTGTTTTGTTTATCGACATCGAGATTATAGAGTACCCTTTTTAATCGAAATATGAGGAGTAAAAGGTACCCTTTTAGTGTTTTGTATGCGGTAGTACTGATTGAAGAAGGCTTCAGATGATCACGTGAGTGAAAATCGTAACAATAGCCATGTACACTGAGGAAGGAAAAAAGGAAAACACGTTATTATAGATGGAATATATTAAAAAGAGTAAGATAGCGAATTATGCATGGACACGCATAAAATAGGACATAGTGAGATGAATTTACTAACAATTGAGTTTTTAGACAAATTCCTAACCCATTGAATTCTAGATTTTTATTTTATTTTTATTTTAAAAATTTCTCTAGAATTAGTGGTAGTGGTATCATTGTAATGTCCCCACACTCAATACTTCAGGATTTCAGTCTCATGAATCACTACAAAGGGATAAAGTCTGGGGTTTCGCACGTATGCCTCTTGCTTTCATTAATCTGATGGACTATTGGTATCATTTTGTTGGGTGCTTTATTTATTCATGTTATAGACATTTTCCACGTGCACTCATGGTCTCAAACCTAGGTTTTTTTCTGCATTTATAGGCCTTAATGTGTTTATATTGCATATTGAAATTGATCTTGTCGTTATCACATCCTACACATACCTTAATATTTTATCGTGTTTTCCTAATTGTATTGTCGCGAATATTCAAGCATTTAGCTTAAAGTTTTCCTTGTTCAAAAGCAACACCTTTCGGGTTAATTTAAAATTTTAACTGTAAAATCCATGAAAATCTCTACATCACCCTTCCCTATTCAGAGCTAAAAGCGCTTATTTTTCTTTTTTTTTCCCCTTCTTTACTTTTTTCACTACCATTGATAATGGTTTTCATGGGATTTTAAGGCTCTTATGGAAATAGATATATCCACAATTGTAGGTTTCTATACCATCTCATCGTTCTTCTTTTTAATTTTAGATGCTCAAGTTAGCCAAGAAGCTCTGGTCAAATGATGCTTCGTATTATACCATTGGCGATTCAAACTGCCAGTTCAAAAAAAACCCTACCTTCTGGAAGGATATCGAGATTCGCTTCAACGAGTCTGTGTCTATATTGAACTTGTGCAGCGATCATGAACGAGTGATCAAGACCTTCAACCACGTTGAGGACGCAAAGGGCGGCCATGGGTTCAATGGCATCTTCGTTGTCACGAACTTCAGGGTTCTGTGGTTTGTCAACCAGCGCAAGCGCAACCTCAGCATCGGCCTCAACACCATCCTCAACCTGAAACTCAAAATAACAGAGTCGAAGCTGTTCAATGGCAAGACGGAGTCCCTTTGGATCTTCAGCAAGTACCGTACCCAGCGTTACAATTTCATCTTCAACTTTGTGTCAGAGCTGGAGGACACGACGGGTTCCTTGTTCCACACCGTGCGCGGGGCGTGGTGGGCCTACGACGGCACGCGGCGCTACCGCGAGGTCCAGCTGCGGGCCGCCCTGGTCGAGGACGGCACGGTTGTTATGCTACCACGCGAGGTCGTCGTCTCGCGGGTGTCGTGCGTGGAGAGGTCGACCGCGCACGGGATCACCTCCGGGGCTATGCTCACAACCAACATCCGCGTCGTGTGGTGGGATGGGGTGGCCGGGCACTACTGCCTGTCGATCCCCTACCGCCAGTTCGCCGAGATCAGTGCGCGGCGCGGAGAGAAGGGCCCCACGCTTTACCTCCGTATTGCCCCAAGCGCGGCCTCGACGGAGTTCGTTTTTATCGTGAAGCCGGTGTCGCGTGTGGTGGAGCTCTATCAGGAGATTTGCAGCTTGTGGAAGACGTGGTGCAAGGCCCCGGTGATGGAGGGTGAGGAGGCCCAGGACAGCTGCCCGCGCGACGCCGCGGAGACGAACATTGCCATAGCGGCAGCCGCCTCAAACCCTTTTGAGCACGTCGACAGCGAGAAGCCAACCACCACGGCGAATGATGCCTTCTTCGCCTACTTCGCTGACGAAGGGAATAAAGCCGCGGATCGACGACCAGTTTACGATCCTTCTATCGGATTGGCAGTGGAAAAGTTACGCCGGGGTGTTCAGCTTAAAGATTTGTGGGAGGTGGCGATCACGTAGCAAAGGTTTTCTTTCTCGCTCTTTCATGTGATCTACGGTAGGGGTGGCTCAAAGAGAGATCTCCGTTGCTATGCTATGGTTGTCTATCTTACAAATGGATATCGACCATTCTTTTTGGTTAGTTGCAGTTTTGCTTGTGTAAACATTATTTTCTTACAGAAAGAGGTTTTAAAAAAACTTACAAACACTCCAACAGTACAGTTGATATAGGAAATATTGCATTTATCCTATCTTATTGAGATGACAATATATTGGAATGAAGAATACATCTTGTGATTTTTACGTAAGGCAATTTACACAACTGACTTAAGCAAGGAGCTGCCAGGCTCTCTTTTATGTCATTGTAAACTCCTTTTTCCATTATTTATCCGATTTTCCTTAATTAAACTTCCCAATTACAAGATCAACATCAGATGTATTCTTGGCTTTTACAATTACTATTGTATCTTAGGATTTAATACGTAAAATATTCGGGAGCCATGTACTACTCAAGGTTTCGCAACCATAGCTTTGCTATTGCATTGGTTGCTGGTATCACATCCATCGTGTTGTTATGGTTAGTTTTACGCCGCAGCGGCTTTAATACGACCTATAGTCGTTGCAATTATTTATCGATGATGGGGGAATACAAGCAGCATTTAAGTGCGGGGTCCTTCCCCAGCAACGTCCATTTGCCACCGCATCTCCGTCTTGACAAGCTATCGTACCTGGATTTGGCCGAGACTGAGCTTGCGCTGCCGCCGACGATTGACTTATCAATCACCGAGAAGGATCAGATTTGTTGTTTGGAGAATCAGCTGGGGTCGACAGAGCGGAAGGATGTAAAGATGCACTTCGGCCCCCTCCGTTCACATACGGTGGTCATGACACCGCAGGCCATGGAACGGTACGTGCGACGCCGCATGGGGAGTCAACCAGAAAATCAAGCGGTAGTGGAGGAGGAAAAGGTGAGTGAATGAGACTCATCTCATATCCACACACGTTTCAAAAAAAAAATAACCCTTCCTAAGAACCAGAAGTGAATGGAGAAGCGGGTTGTGTACAGTGTTTCTATTTTGTATATTGGTTTATTTTTGATTCCTCTGCGATTAAACACAGAGGGCAATTTATAGTGAGAAAAAGAAGCGCCCGTTCATAAACCTATCAATTTACTTAAATAATTTTCTATCTCATCTCTCATTGCTCTTAAAATTTTATTAAAAAACGCAACAAAATCAAAGCTATGCAACATTTCTGGTGCTATTAAGAGTAGTGTCAGCACATTTTACTATGATTTGGACCTTACAGTTTGTTATATCAAGATTCCAATATTATGAACGAGCTAAATCTTTGCCTGATCCCAATTGTTCCAATATTTGTTTTCATTCAGAGTATCCTTTTTTTTATTGTTTTTTTACAAGATTATATTTCCTCATTCCTCACTCGTCACTGTGTGATCTTCAATTGTTTGTTTTGGTTTACATTTTCCCATATTGCGAAAGGAAAATTCATTTAAAAAAATAACATCATTACTTTCACTCCACTTTTGTCTGTCTAGGTGGAATTTGATAGCAACAGGATTTGCCACAGGAATATCGTATTTTCCACATCAAGAGTCTTATTATTATTATTATTAGTATTTAAAAGAGGGTATAGAGAAAAAGGGTCGGCCAGGCGATGTATTCATCTCTCGGCATCACCAGGGAGCAGCTCTTCGGGGATGTGTACTCCTCATGGATGCGTGACATCTTCGAGAAGCCCAGCGAGGAGACGAGGCAGCTCTTCAACGACATGGTTGAGGCCGGCTTCTCAACGGAGCGGCAGATCGTCTTGAGCCGGCAGCGGCTTGGGGTAAACACGATCCACAGCCTTGCCGCGCTTTTACACCGGACGCCGCTGACGAAGCTTGTGTTGAGCGGAAACGCGCTGCGGGATGCCGGCTGCGAGGTCATCGCCCGCCTCGTCGGGGAGCTCCCACAGCTCACCCACCTCGATCTGGGGACGAGCGGCATCGGCGCGGCGGGGGCCGCGGCCATCGGCGTCGCCGTCGCCAACCACCGCAAACTCGCCGCCCTCATTTTGGACTCGCAATCGGGTGATCCGTACGCGAATCAAATCACCCAGGCCGGCGCCACCGCGCTGCTCGAGGGGTGCGTGAGGTGCCATACGCTGCGAACGCTGAACCTGAGCGGGAATTGCTTCGCTGACAAGACGGATGCTGCGAGGCCCACTGGCATTGGCGGCGCGGCGTCCTCCTCCTCGACGGTTTTAAGTACTTCGGAGAGAAAAGGAGGGAGGGGGGCGGCCGACACCTCTTCCATCGATGAGAAGATGACATGGAAGGGAAGAAGTGTGAGCAGCTGGCAGGCGGGGAACGAGACGGCATCTTCGGTAGCGGGCGAGCACGCATCGGTGCGGTCGCCGGTGGAGCTGCTCGAGGAGCTCCTGCGGCATTCCTCCCTCGACAAGCTCCGGCTTCGGAACGTCGGATTGAGCGGCCCCGGGGCGCTACGCCTCATCAGCGCGCTCCACGACAACTTCGCACTCACCGTGCTAGACATCAGCAATAACAATCTACCGCCGGAGGTGGGCGACGCGATTGGGAGTCTTCTGATGGAGAGGACGAGCGTGAGGAATCAACTTTCCTTGAAGGCGCTGTATTTAAACGGGAACTACTTTTTCTCCCTTCCCTCTGCAGGCTCGATGGAGCGGCAGGTGATGTCTGCCTGCACGACGCGGCCGAGCATCATTGAGGAGGAATACCGTAGCACGGCGATACGCAGTGTGAGCTTTGCAGCCATATTGGGGTCAAGCCGAAAGACGTCGACAATGCTCCTGCTATCCGCCCTCTCACACGACCGCATCTTGACGACGCTTGAGCTGGATCGCTGTGGGATCGAGTTGAACGCGATCCGCACGCTTTGCCGCGCGCTGCTCAACAACACCACCTTGCAGTGCCTTAGTTTGCGCGATAACAAAATCTGCACGACGGCGGCGGTGGACCTCGGCCGGGTGCTCTGTCATCACCACGCCCTACGGCGGTTGTGTTTGGCGGGGAACCGGATCAAGGACGAGGGCGCCTGCGCGATGGCGACGCTACTGCGGGTGGTGAGCTTGAACTCGGCTGAGGAGGCCCCCGGCGCCCCCTCTTCCACCTCCGCATCTTCGCTTGAGGTTCTTGACCTACAGCGGACGTGGCTTTCGGACCGCGGCCTCATTGCCCTCGGCGTCGCCCTCCGGCTGAACGAGACGCTGCGGGTGCTGCACCTCCATGACAACTTCTTCACCGATCAGAGCGGCGAGGCCTTCGCCGCGTTGGTGGAGGAGAACCACTCCCTCGTGCGCTGCCAACTCGGCTCCACCAGCGTCCCTTATCCCGTGGTCGCGCGTGTGCAGCGGGTGATGGAGCGGAACCGCCGAGCCCTCGAGCGAAGGGAGCAGGACGAGCTTAACCGCGAGGTCATCGCCCTGCATTACCAAAACTATAAGCTCGAGGAGGCGAGGATCGAGCTGGAGTCGATGCAGTACAAAAGCAGCGAGCTCAAGCGGGCCTTGGATCAGGTCGAGCTGCAGTGCAAGCAGGATCAGTCGGAGTTCGCGAAGAAATGCAACGAGCTGGAGGAGCACATCAAGAACTACACCGACCAGGCAGCGAGAATGAAGGATGAGCGAGAGACCCTGGAAGCGGATGCCAAGAAGGCATCGGAAGAGTTTGAGGTGGATATGTCTGAAGCGAAAGGGAAGCTTGAGGCGGAGATCAAACAGCGCGAGCAGGTCGAGGAAGAACACCGACGTGTGGCTCAGGAGTTGGAATTCTGGAAGGGCAACCCACAGGAGCGGGAGGTCGCCAAGCATGCGCAGTTGGAGCAAGCAAAAAAGGAGGCGCGGGAATGGGAATTACAGCGAAAGACGTACCGGGAGCAAATTGATGCCCTTAGTGTGAAGGTCCGCGCTTTGGAGGAGCGCGCTGCTACCATTAAACCTTCCGGGAAAAAAGTTCCCGTGGGCCGTGGTAGAAAAGGGTCAACAAGTTCGAGGTCAAAGTCGAAGTTGAAGAAGACCAAGCGTGCAAGCTCTAAGAAGTAATTTTTTCAAAAACAACAACTTACCTTTATGCGGTGTTTCATACAAGGTGACATTGGCTGGACCCTCACATATGCATACGTGTGTGTAGCTTAGCATCAAAACGACCACATGTGGCGGTATTTTTTTTTTTCAGAACTATACAGTTACACACAGACATACATACACGTACAAATAAGGCACGGCGTTGCATCATTTTTGAGTGTTTCATTCACGTCACTGAACGCTGAGTATCATTTCTGCTTCTGATGTATTATCACGAATTAGTATACGAACATATCTACGTGTGCCTGTTGTACCAAACGATGCTATCATTTATATTAGTTCACAACAATGAGGCAAGATTATCATGTAAACATCTGTTACCATTATCAAAATGAGTAATTTTCTACTTTAAAAAGTTCACAAGGAGGAACATGCTTATGGGAGAGCAAATAATGGCTACCCCCCTCTCCTCATCTATTTAGGATAGTCCTGCCTTCTTTATGAAATTTATCATTTTTATTTTTCAATTTATAAATTGTCTATTTACACAATATCGTTTCCAAAGGTCTAGTCTATTACTTATTACCACGACTCAATTTTCTTGTTAACGGTCGCGGATAGATCGGTGTGCGCCTACAGACCAGGGCGTTACTTCCGCACACACCCCATTAATCAATAGATTAATCCATAAAACCTCTATTTAGCATACCCATCCAATGCGCTCCTCGGACCAGGCGTGTGTTAGCCGTCATCGGATGGTCGCGGCGGCGGGTGACCCATTCGAGGAGGAATCCACGTTGGGCGACGAGGGGGAGGGGAGGGGGAGGACTCGATCGCCCGCGACGCCTTCCCGGACGAGGGGCCCCGCCTCACCTCCCCATCCCCGACCGCGGAGGGCATCCACTACGACGACAGCGACCACACAACCGCCTTTGGGCCGCAGAGGGCGGGCCCGGGGGGGACGCGGCGGGTGGTGATGGTGCTACCGTCCCTTTGCGGGCCGCCGGGCCTCGGGGGGGAGGGGAGGGTGGGGCTGCTTCGACTTCCCCACCCGCGCCATGGCCGCCCGCAGGTCTACCTGGCCCCGGCTCTGTCCTCAGAGGCTGGGGGGAGGGGGCCCTGCCGCCGCTCTATGAGGCCCAGCGCCAGGGCC